TAACATAAATAGTGAAAAGTGGGTGTTACATTGTACAGTGGCATTAACTCGTCGAGTACCGGTTTTGTAGACACAATTATAGAACAATAGGTTGCGGTCACCGGTGACCGCTTGGTGTTTGACAGTTTAATTGCCGTAATGTGCACCTCTGCCTACCCCTTCGGGGATAAAAAGACGTGATGTTATGTTATGTTATGAAAATACAATTTTTAAAATACATATTGATAAGTACTTAATAAAAAAATGGGTAAATTTTTAATGTTGTATTATTTTTTGAATCTTATATTAGGTTCTCCGGAATATATAGAGAATCTGTATTTATAAATAAAAAAGAAATTCTGGCTAATTTTGGTCTTGTTTCGTGGAGTCGGGTAAAATATTTTTTACGCGGTATGAAGTTTGCCGCGTCAGGTTATAGATGTTGAGGTTACAATTTTTTGGTCACCAGAAACAAAAACAGAAACACTGCAACTGACAAATATTGAATGTCCAGTCAATGATGTGACACTATGACACTAGCAGTTTCATAATGGACAAAACGGAAAATCGCAAATTTTCACAAGGTCCACCTGGTGAGCAACATGCAGCCCATTCGGATGCGTGGATCCTGTCTTGGCTGGTGGTAAAAGGTGATATGGCTTGATGGATTACGTCTGCCCGTAAACTACCCGAGACAAGTCAGTGCAAGTACTTGAAACATATAAATCCATAAGCAAAGCCGTGCAAATACTTTGTAAGTATGTTCATTAACTGGCTTAATCATTTTTACATATAGCTCTCGTGCCACTGCTGGACTCTGCGCTTATTCTCTGACTAGTATAAAGTAATCTGTGGCGCCAATGGCCTTCTTCTACAAAAGGGGCAGTTTGAATTTGCCTTCTTCTGCTATGCATAAGTACACCTATTTTATGCTTACAGCGGAACGTCAGAATCAACATTTAAAATGTCAAAATTGTTATTTGACATTGACAACGACAAATCGTCTTCAATGTCGAATCGCCAATGCGTAAACAAACGTGCTTCTGTGATGAAAACAATTTAATTTATTTCAAGTGCACGCCTATATTGTCTCTTTACTATACTAGTGTCATTAATTATCAAGTTAAGATAACGCATCAAGTCTCTACATAACTTACAAATTAAGTATTTACCTAGGTATAATAATAAATAATGTGTGTTGAATCGTAAGGGAAACCCGGGTCACTTTCTGAGGTAGTGGAGGAACACCGCGGTGGTTTTTGTCGGTAAGAGTCCGGCACACGCCCGCGTCGTCCCCGTCCCCGTCCCCGCGAAGTCCGTGAGGATTTCCATCGCGTTATGAAACATAAAATAAAAAAATTATAATAAACAATACTAGTCTTATAGCCGGGTAAAAATATTCTGGGTATTTCTGAATAAGTTTAAGTGAAAAATTGACACAACTTTTCTTTAATGGAGAAAAATACTTACTTAGTGCTTATTTTTTGTTAATTTAACAATTTACAACTCTACCTACCTTCAAGTAAAAAATATTGTGTAGGTACATACACCTTACTTCATTAAAGTTTGTTTTCACAGTTGTTTTTCAATGTCAATTTATAATATTTCAAAGTCCAAGTCAATATCATCTATTTCAATTAGACCAGTAGCTCAGGAAGGCACTTATGAACGTAGAACAAAAAATTTAAGTGTCAGCCTGTCCTCTACTGAATCTATTTGCTCGTTCCAAAGTGTAGATTCCTATCGATTAAAGCGAGCAAAGAACTCCATAGGTTTTATAATCACTATAAACTTTATGTTAACTATCTATTTAACTCGTCAAGTACCGTCATTATAGACACAATTATTGAACAATAGGTTGCAGTCACCGGTGACCACTTGGTGTTTGACAGTTTATATTATGAGTTCAAAATTTAATCATCTCACAACTCTGAAAAAGTCTGAAATAATTATGTTGTACAAGCAACGTGTATCCAATATCGAAATCGCTAAACGCACTAATTTATCGGTGAGTAACTACACTACTATTACACATAATATAACTTCACACCTTCTACCCCTGAAGGGATAGGCAGAGGTGCACATTACGGCACTTAATGCCACTGCACAATCTAACACCCTGGGCTGAGGGCTGAGCCTATTGCCATATACCGGGGACACATCCAGTCTCCGTGATGCGACTGAGAATTTTTAAAACCCAGTAATACTTTACCCGACCTGGGATTCGAAACCGAGACCTCTTGCCTGGGAATTGCACTTGCGACCACTCTGCCAACGAGACATGACGAGACAGTCAACTATTAGATATTACTTTGTAATTTATAATATATATTTTTGTATAAGGCAATATAAGGCCTTTGCATAAGGCAATCTAAGGCCTTTGTATAAGGCAATCTAAGGCCTTTGTATAAGGCAATCTAAGACCTTTGTTTAAGGCAATCTAAGGCCTTTGTTTAAGGCAATCTAAGGCCTTTGTTTAAGGCAATGTAAGACCTTTGTGTAAGGCAACTATTAGATATTACTTTATATTTTTTGATTGGATAAACTGACTTCAATAGGGAATTAGACATACATACTATGCAAATTGTAGCATACATTATCATAACGATCATACAAACAGACACACTGTCAAACATCTGTCGTCTCATTCCTACATTACATGCGGGGTGCTGGGTTGGAGGGCAGACCGCCGCATAGTGAAGGTCACTAGAACAGTGAGGAAAGCGAACCGATATATATACTCAACAAATTGTTTAATTATACATAGTTATTACTTAAGTAGATAGTGTTACAGTCACATATTTTATCGCTCACTTTATTTATATTTGTGACTAATAATATTGTCTAAGTATTTCAAACACTAAAATGCCGAATAGTAATATTATGGATTGATTTGGTTTTCGAACGTGGCAACACTATCCCTGTCGGGTATTCGCGCGGTTTTGTTTTTAGACAGCAACAGATTAATTTTTGTAAAACAACATAAAACAAGTGAATACAAATTATTAATGAACAAGTCTGAGTTTTAATTAAGATCACCATCCTTCTGAGCGTTTTAATAGCGTATACAACACAAATTGAAAACGTAACTAGTCTGTTAGTTACATTATTAAAAATATTTGTCGGTAAACAGTTATCTATTCTTAGTTCGTTATTATATAGCAATAAACATTTGTTTTGCACGTACAGAGGAGAACGGTGCAATTGTGGGTTCACCGATTTGAAACTACTGGTAATATTGGACATGAAGCACGTGGTCCTAAAGTACAAGGGACTTCCTCAGCTCATCACAGAGCAATAATGGAAACGTTCAAAAGAGATCCTGTGCGCCAATCCGTGAAATTGCAAAAGCAGTCAAAATTAGCCCACAGACTGTGAGACGCCATTTACATCTGGCTGGTGTACCTCTTCACAATCCACTGAAGTGCTCAAAATGCAGGGTAGGTAGGCAACTCTTTAACTAATGCTATATGAGATCTATACTTATATTACTCCATCGCGAAGGACACACCGGCGTCGGGGTTCTCGGGACGATCTCCGACCACCGTAAGCGCGGGCCTGCGGACGGCGAGCATGGGTGGCTCCTCGTCCGACCAGAAACAGTCCCGAGCGTACGGCGGGTCGCGTGCCGCGCGCGCCTCAAAGAGCCATCAGACCACCACAGATGGGGCCCAATAGGGCCGATGCCGATTCGGAGTCGCGGAGAACCTAACGGGTAACCGGGGCTCCGGCTTGCCGTGCAGGAGAAGGAACGGGGTGGTTTTTAGCCAGTAAGAGTCTGACACTCCCTCCCGCCTCACCCAGGCGGGAGCAGTAATACGATGAATTTCCCCCCTTAAAAAAAAATACTTATACTACTAGCTTTTGCAAGTGGCTTCGTTTGCGTGCCAAAGAAGAAAGAAAGAAGAATTAAAAATAATTATATTCGTCACCAGGCATGACTGCATGAGCCATCAAAAATATACAATCATAAAATACAAAAAAACAATAAGAACATAAAATAACTTTCAAAACAGCAACAAAAAACAATTTATAAATAATAAAATAAAAATAAAATAAAAGAGCAAAAGCCAACATGCCCACGACGAAAGGGCTCGCCAACTCAGTTTCAGCTGGGCACAGTAAGTACCCAAAACTGGTTTTCAGTTGGCACCCCTGCAGCGACACACGGACGGAAGCAACGAAAAATAATTGCAAGAAAAACAATGAGGCTAAACGTGAACCGCCATATTGTAGAACATCTCGCAATGTTGCTGTTTTCTAAACGGCTAGCCGTCATGTATGTATGTAATGTCGCGTAGAACTTTTTTTTAAATCATAGAGTCACTGCTCCCGCCTGGGTGAGGCGGGAGGGAGTGTCAGACTCTTACTGACTAAAAACCACCCCGTTGCTTCTAACGGGTTACCGGGGCTCCGGCTCGAAGTACAGAGGCCTTAGTATGAGTTCCTTTTCCGTTAAAAGTAATCGAATCGAGTACGCGTTCGGCGCTGTGTGATTGGCCGGCTCCAATGAACTAACCAATCAGAGGCCTTAGTACGAGTTTGATTTACGTTTGAAGTATTCGAAACGAGTACGCGTTCGGCACTCTGATTGGCCGGCGCCAATGAATCAACTATACCTCTATATATATATATATATATGTATATATCGAGGGGTAACGGGCTATTTGGTTTAAGCGACATTTTGGGCCATATTGAGTTATTATAATATATATTCGACGGAGAAAAATTCGCTGATTCCGAATATATATATAACTCAATATCGCCCAAAATGTCGCTTAAACCAAATAGCCCGTTACCCCTCGATATATATATTTGTTTGTTTGTTTTAGAGTCGTAATTCGAATACGGGAGTCCAAATTTTAAATGGGAAGGTGGTCTGTCCTAAATGCAATACGGATATAGAAGTAGAGGATAGACAGCAGGTGAGATATTTATATAAATACCATCACGATAGCCGGTGAGGGGTTCCTTCTGTTTGTCAGAGTCTAGCTATTTAGCATACCTATTGATTTACAGAACGTTTACATGTCCGAATATTTTTTATGGCATAAGCCGGTAAACGAGCTACCGGATCACCTGATGGTAAGCAATCGACGTCGCGCATGGACACCTGGAACACCAGAGGCGTTAGAAGTGCATTACTAGCCTTTTGGGGATTAGGGGTTTGAGGATTGTTGGGGATTCAGGAATTGGGGAGTTCGGGAAGGGGAGGGTAATTGGGCCTCCGATAACCTCACTCACACGACGAAACACAGAGAGAGGCAGAGTATTATTGGGTTTTTAAAAACCTCAGTAGTAGCAGAGTCTGGAATTGTGCCCGGTATATGGCAATAGGCTCACCCCCTATTACATGGGACTCATAACATAAATAGTGAAAAGTGAGTGTTACATTGTACAGTGGCATTAACTGTCGAAATGTGCACCTCTGCTTACCACTTCGGGAATAAAAAGGCCCGATGTTATGTTATGTCACAACACATTATATATGTAAAATTGTACCTTATTTACAGGATAAATTAAACGTGCTGCTAGTTCGAGTGTACTCATATTTTGCTAGTGAGAATGCAGGACTGTCACAGGCACAGCTCCGACAGCGCACGGCTCTGTGCAGCGGCGTCAGCAACGAAGACGTAGAACGAGCATTAGAAGTACATCATCAGGCGCAGTATGCTAAGGCACCAGCCAGGAAGCGACGGAGAATACGGAGAAGGAAATCAAATACACCATCGCCGGAACAGTAAGTAAAAATAGATTTTAAGACTCGTACACGCGAATAGGTATGCGATGCGATCTCGCAACGCAAAATATTACGATGCGAATTGCTGCGATGCGATTTCGTGCGACAAGGCGTCTCCCAGGGTGACCATTCCTTCGACGGCCGTCAACCGTACTAAACGTGTTTTAAATTGAAAACTAGGTCGTGACATGCATCGTAAAATAATGAAGTGTACACCTTTGTTATTGTTGAGGAGATACAGGAAAAAGAAACAAATAACATTTTGGGAAGATAAGATTTTGATACGCGATGCGAATTAATTCGCAAGTTCTTGCGATGCGTAGAGGGAGCTCGCACATTTTTAACCGACTTATGAAAATGGGAGGAGGAGGCACCAACTTCTAAAACCTATCAGTGGGTGTGTAAGCTATAAGTACTTATGACCAAAATAGTTATTTTTTACTTTTCTCTTGTCTTTAGTTTTTGAAATCAGTTTTTTTTGCAATTGACGTCGCATCGCAGTTTTATGTACGAGTCCTTAGTTCATTCCAAATTCATCATCAGCCTATGAGAGGCCCCTGCTCGCACGGAGAAGGTTGGAACATTAATCACCACGCGTGCTCAATGCGGGTTGGCGATTTTAAACTTTAGAAAGTTAAAGTTTCCATACCATGTTTTCCTTCACCATTTTTTTCGACACAAAAAGAATTATTCAATTCGATCCAGTCGTTCTGGACTTAGCCCGTACAAACAATCAAAACTCTTCAGCTTTGGATGTTGACTGCACAGTTGGCGCGGTGGCAGGGCAACCGGGTGCCGTGCAACGTGTAGCTGGTTCATTTCCCCCACTTAGCAACTCTTTGTGTGATCCACAGTTTATTGTTCCGGGTCTGGTGTCATGTGTATGTGAACTTGTATGTTTGTAAACGCACACACGACACAGGAGACAATCCTAGTGTAGGGTTAAGTGTTATTTAAAAAACAAAAAGAAATAAAGAAGTTGAAATAGAAATTTTACTCCGAACATTTCTTTATTGCAGTCAAGAGCAGTCACACCCAATGGAGGAACTTCATGAAGAAATGGTTTTTGTTAAGAATGAAAACGACACAAGCAAGTGAGTAAGACAGCCGACTTCAGTCGAGTTACTAAGTATAATACAGATATGATAATAAACATTGATTCAGTACAGAGACAAGTGTGGGAGAGCCATGCTTCGGCACGAATGGGCCGGCTCGACCGGAGTGATACCACGGCCGAGCAGAAAACCAACGTGAAGCAACGCTTGCGTTGTGTTTCGTCGTGTGAGTGTCGTTACCGAAAGCCCTATTACCCTCGATAAATGGACTATCCAACAAATCAAAATAAAAAATTGCGTTTAAAAAAACCGACTTCAAAAATAAAACGAAAAGTAAAAACTAAAACCAAACAATAACTATTATTGGTCATACGTACTTATAGAGGTATATAGCTTACACACCCAGTGATAGGTTAGAAGTCGGTGCCACAAGTTTTACACAAAATTATTCATTAAAACCTTAAACTGTCAAACACCAAGCGGTCACCGGTGACCGCAACCTATTGTTCTATAATTGTGTCTATAATGACGGTACTCGACGAGTTAATTGATACCTAACATTATAAAGCTGTTTACAATTTTATTGTGGATTATATCTGTGACCATTACCTAAGATATATTTTGTTATGGGTTTGTGGCACCGACTTCTCACCTATCAGTGGCTGTGTAAGCTATATTTAAGTACGTATGACCAATAATAGTTATTTTTTGCTTTTTAGTTTTTACTTTTCGGTTGTTTTTGTTTTTGAAGTCGGTTTTTTAAACGCAGTTTTTTATTTTTATTTTATACTTTTTAGTTTCGTACTATGATATATTATATTATGTACAACCCACATCGGTGCAAAGTTTTCATCGATACATATTATTCAAGCTCAAACACCAGGTAGCTACTGGTAACCATCGTTCTCTTAGCTATCATACTACTTCATCATTGGACATTAAGTGACAATCACACCACACCTAAGTGTAAAGTCCTCATCAATACAAATTAATCAAACCCAAACACAAGATAGCTACTGTTAACCGTTGAGGAGTTCCCTCAACTGTGGTAGTACTTCATCATCAGAGTCAGACCCTTATTGGCAATCACATACCACCTAGGTATAAAATCCTCATCAATACAAATTAATAAAACTCAAACAATGTAGCTACTGTTAAACGTTGAGGAGTTCCCTCAACTATGGTAGTACTTCATCATCAGACCCTTATTGGCAATCACATACCACTTAGGTATAAAATCCTCATCAATACAAATTAATGAAACCCAAACATAAGATAGCTACTGGTAACCGTTGAGGAGTTCCCTCAACTATGGTAGTACTTCATCATCAGATCCTTATTGGCAATCACATACCACCTAGGTATAAAGTCCTCATCAATACAAATTAATAAAACTCAAACAATGTAGCTACTGTTAACCGTTGAGGAGTTCCCCCGACTGCCTATCGATTCCATCATCAGATCAGCTCCAGACCGTTACAGATTGTTGTGGTTTTAAATACTTAATGAAAAAATTAACAAATGCACTAGTCGCCCCTATAATTTTTAAAAGTTCCCCTCGGTTTCCCTGGGATTCCATCATCAGATCCTGATTTCATGACAATGGGACCAAATGACAAACATACCCTTTCAAACAAAAAAAGAATTTTTGGAATCTGTCCAGGCGTCTTCGAGTAATCGAGTAACAAACTTAAAATAAAAATACAGCCGAATTAAGAACCTCCTCCTTTTTTTGAAGTCGGTTGAAAAATAATTATTCAAATCAGACTTGTAGTTACGGAGATTAGCGCGTTCAAACAAACAAACAGAAAAACAAACTCTTCCGCTTTATACATATATTAGTATAAGATAAGATCAATAAAAACACAATAAATGAGTTTTATATATTCTACAGTGAGGAAAATCCCCTTGCCTACAATGAGGACACCAAGCCTGATGTAGCTGATATACCTGTACAGGAACCATCATCATCACCAGAGTAAGTCATTGTAGTATAACTTTGAGCTGCAAACGAGCAGACGGATCACCTGATGGTAAGCAATTAGCGTCGCCCATGGACACCTGATTTTTTTTAAGGTGGGAAAATCATCGAATGACTTTTCCCGCCTGGGTGTGGCGGAAGGGAGTGTCAGGCTCTTACTGACTAAAAACCACCCCGTTCCTACTTCTGCCCTTCGAGTCGGAGCCCCGATAACCCGTTAAGTGCTCCGCGGCTCCATGTCGGCATCGGCCCTATTGGGCGCCATCCATGGTGGTCTGATGGCTCTTTGAGGCGCGCGCGGAACGCTCAGGTCTGGTTCAGGGTGATTATTCTTCTTTTGAAACCAATCTCAATGTCAATGCAATTTCAATCCAATAAAACCTTAATAATTATTCAATGTCAACACTATACAACCACAATCGTAGCGGTTGAAATAGCATTCAAACTCAAACTCAAACTCAAAAGCATTTATTTCAATTAAACCATAATTTGGTACTTTTGAAACGTCAACAAATATGAGATATATAATCGTCTGTCAGTCTGTCCGTCAGTGAAGCTAGGCGCTCGTTCCAAAATGTCGATTCGAGTGGAGAAGAACGAGCAAGAAACTCCATTCGTTACTCTTTTAAAAAAAGTCTGTTTTACATTGCTCTGATACATATTCCAATATTGTACACACATGTGAGAATAATGTAAAGACATACCTGA